CCTGCTCCCATCCCTGTGCTCCCATCCCCCTGATCCCGGCCCCCTGCTCCCATTCCTCTGCTCCTGGCTCCACTGTTCCCATCCCCTTGCTCCTGTCACCCCACTCCCATTCCCGTGCTCCTGTCTCCCCCATTCCCACTGCCCTGCTCTTGTCCCTCCCGTTCCCATCTCCTTCCTGCTCCTGTCCCCAAAACTCCCATCCCCTTCTCCTGTCCCCTCCATCCTGTTCCCAGTGTTGGGTTCCCAGCTGCAATCCCTCCAAAACCCCTCCTGCCCACACCAGCTGCATTCCAGGACGTGTCCCTCCTGTACCCAGCTGTGTCTGTCTCCCATCCAGATGTTCCTGCCTTCCCCACCTGGCTGTCCCCAGCCCCAGGGGTCCCAGCAGGTGACCAGCAGCCCTGGGAAGATCCTTGCCAAAGGATCCTCCGGGGATGGGAGCGATTCCAGGACGGGGCAGCCATGGCTTTTGGGGGCAACCTGTGCCAGGAATCCCTTCCCAACATCCCATCTAACCCTGCCCTCCTTCAGTTTAAGGCCTGCAGGAAAAACAACCTCAGTGCTGGTGCCACGTTTCCATGTGAAAGCCGGAGGTGCTCAAATCCCTGAGGAAGCACAGGCTCCATCCCGGCACCCCCTGAGCTCCTGTGGGCACCATCCTGCCCGCAACAGCCCCCCCAGGGCCTGTTCCCCACCCTGACACCCCTCAGGGAAGGGGTCTCTGCTCTCTAGCACCGTGTGGAGCAGCTGATCCCAAGGAGTTGGCTCCGAGCTTTGGGCACACACGGCTTCGGTGGGAGAACGGCGCCGGTGTCCTGCGTCCCAGCAGTGCTTGGGATCTGCCAGATCCCACCCCCCCCACCTGTGTAATTTTTTAACAACAATAATTATGTTTTCAAAATGAACTGTGTGTGTCCTGCCTGGATAAAACCAGCTTAGGTCAGGAACTCCGATCTTTTCGAGGAATATCGTTTTCCCAGATTTCAGCTTCTGCTTCTCCGTAACATTAAATTCTGTTGCCTTCGGCCTCATAAAAAAAACAAAACCCAAAAGGCTTCAAACTGCAATGGCAGCAGAACGCTCAGCTTTGTGAGAAGTAGCTGCCCCAGCAGACAACTAAAAGGCAGCCTGATGATTTTTTTTTTCCCCTCCTAATCCACTCGGACCTCTGGTGTTGAACTGCAGCTTTTCCAGTGCCTCGCTTTGGAAAACTCGGTTTTAACGGGATGTCAGGACAGAGTCTATTCAGTGGCTGGTTGGTTAGGCAGGACTCAGTGGCTGAGGGAACACTGAGCTTTACTCTGAGCTTTACTCTGTCTGTTCTGCTCCCAGGACCATCATCCCCACCCGCAGCCGTGGGGCACATCCCGGTGCTTCCCACACGGAGCTGGCACGGCCAGGACACCCCTCCCAGCGCCCTCCCTGCTCGCTGGTGGCACTGGGGACCTTCTGGTGGCTCCCACCCCTGGGTGACACGTCCCCCCCCCTCCCCCTCCAGTCCAGGGAAGCCCGGGATTCACACCTACCCTTCTTCCGAACGACTTCCTCCGACTCCGGCTTGCGGCTGACGGACACGACCTTCATCACCAGGTGGTTCCCCCCTTGCCGGATCAGGGACACCACCTGCTTGTGCCCCACCTTCACCACGTTCACACCATTCACCTGGGGCAGAGCAGAGACAGAGTAAGAGCTGCCTGCTGGGAAAACTGAGGGGTGCTATCCCCCCCCCCAAAATGCATTATTTTGCATCTCTTCCTGTGTGTTTTTTTTTTTTTTACAGCACAGGGCTCATGGAAGTCACCAGCCAGAGGCTGCAGCCTTCTGGAGGAGATGGACAGCTGGGCTGCAAAGGCAGATCAGCTAAAAAATGGGTGTTTCCCAGTTTTTCCTGGGCACTAATTCATCCCTGGAAGTGTCCAAGGCCAGGTTAGACGGGCCTTGGAGCAACCTGGGCCAGTGGAAGGTGTCCCTGCCCACGGCAGGGCTTAAGGTCCTTCCAACCCAAACCATTCCATGATGCCCATGAGGCTCCTGGATCTGCAGGACCTGAGCTGTGCCTCAGGTGTGCCAGAGGTGCTGGAAGGGCGACTGATCCAACAGCTCTGAGGCACCAACCCAAAAATAACCTGGAAAAGGCAACCTCAGCACCGGGGCATCCACTGAGGAGCCACAACAGGGGACAGGACAAGAGGAGACAGGCCCAAGCTGGGCCAGGGGAAGGTCAGGCTGGATACTGGGAAAATTCCTTCCTGGAAAGGGCTGTCCAGGGCAGGTTGGAGTCCCCAGCCCTGGGGGGATTTAAAAACCCGGTGGATGTGGCACTTGGGGACACAGTGGTGGCCTTGGCAGTGCTGGGGGACAGCTGGACTTGGTCTCAGAGGGCTTTTCCACCCTCAGTGTTTCCATGATTCCATGAACACAGGGGTCTCACAGACCCTCACTCTGGGTAACATTTTGGTGCTGAACTAAATTGTGAAATGGATCCTCCCTGTTTTCAGAGCTGCAAAGCTTTGGAAAGAATCCTTTTACTCCAAATATCCACTCATTCCATCGATCTAATTTTGTTCATAATTGATTCCATAACGATTCAGTTTTCACAAAAACACGTGTTTTCCTCAGAATATTTGACTCTGATCAAATTACCAACCTCCTCTGGTGAAATCGGCTCTTCGTCTTGGGAGTTTTTTTTTTTTTGGACAAATAGGGTGGAATGGATTGAATCCCAGAGCGTGGTTATCCTGCATATCCTCCTCCCAAATGATCCCAAATTTCCTTTATGAAGTTCTCTGCTGGCAACTGCATCCTGCTTTTTAACCCTTCATGCACTGCCTACAAGCACCTGACTGCTTAGTTTTGTTGCCAGCAAGTGATTTCAGCCTCACAGGTTGGGAAGCAACTGGCTCATCCCTCTGCCTCTTCCCAAATCCAGTGCTCCGCCAGTCCTGGCACTGCCCCAGCATCACACAGCTGAAAACTGCAAGTACTGGAAAACCACCACCCAGAAAATGCTCAGAGCTTCGGTTACTGATGGCCTGGGAAGGGTTTTGCCACCCGCATGGGACACGGGAATATCACCCTGCTCCTTCCCAGGGAACAGACATGGAACAGCCCACTGCTTCCAGCTCTTATCATGGAATTCCAGAATGGTTTGGGTGTGAAGGGGGACCTTAAAGCCCATCCAGTTCCAAACCCTGCCATGGGCATTCCCCTATCCCAGGAATGAGACCTTGCAGAAAGCAGGTAAGAAAAGCAGCCAAAAAGCTGGAATGACACAGGAGGTCAGGGATGGATTATTATCCAGGAGAGCTGATCACAGGGGAGACCTGTCAGGCAGCTGTTTGGTCTGACCAGAATCCCAGGATCCCAGAGATTGGAAAAGCCCTCCCAGCCCATGGATCCCCCCTGTGCCCCATCCCCACCTTGTCCCCCAGCCCAGAGCACTGAGTGCCACGGCCAGGCCTGCCTGGGACACCTCCAGGCCTGGGCACTCCAAACCTCCCTGGGCAGCCCCTGCCAAGGCCTCACCACCCTTGCCAGCAACAAATTCCTCCTCAGGGCCAA